TGTTCGTACAGTTTCTGACTGTTTGCCGACAGCTAGTCCGCTGTTCGTACAGAACCTTCTGACAGATCCGAGGACGCCAGTCAACCAGTGACAGTGACAGGTATCAGAGTGTGTCGAAAGTACCTTGAGGACAAAAATTTCTTCGCAAGAGGCATTTAATGATCGATTACTCTTACTTAATGGACGGTCTGGGGAGATCTTCGCACCGACGGGCCTCTGGCAATCTAGCTACGCCAGCGGGATTTGCTCCTCAGAGCTCTCTTCCACGGTGTTATGTGCCTGCCTGACTCCAGCCTCCCATCGTAATCATGTCGATCTTCGTACATCCAGAACTGGCGGATAAGACTACTCCTTTGTCCCGAGGGTGTCGAGATCGTGTAACAATCTACATGATGAGCTTTTTCCAGTTCTACTAACCCTAGGCAGTTCAATAGGAATAACAAAGTTTCTTTAAGCTCCTCAAAGCAGCCGCGATGCCCTCGGTTCACATGCGCGGTTGCTTCGGTGTAAAAAAACTGAGCGGTGTACCAAGAAGATGAAGACCCTGAAGATTTACTGAGGCGAGAATGAAACCCAGAAACCTTTTTTTTTTTTATATCGAAACAGCCGCGCAGGCAGAAGCCTAAATGCCGGAACACCGCGGCTGCTATGATGATCCCAAAGAAATTTTGTTAATACGATTTTTGAACTGCCTAAGGTTAGTAGAACTGGGAAAAGCTTCCTCACGTAGATTGTTCCACAATCTAGACACCCTCGGGACAAAGGAGCGGTCGTATCGGCCAGTTCTGGATGTACGAAGTTTGACACGGTTAGGATGGGACGAAGAAGTCAGGCGGGTCTGTCTGGCAGGCACATCGCGCGGCGGCATCATAGAAGAGAGCTCTGAGGAGCAAAGCCCGTTGGTGTAGCGATAGAAAAGAGCTAGATCGCCGACGGCCCGCCGATGCGAAAGAGTCCCGAGACTGTCTGTTAGAGAAGAGTCATCGATCAGTCGGACCGCCCTCCTCTGGACAGCATCGAGCATGGACAATGTAGTCGGGGCGGCAGCACCCCAAATGTGTGAGCAATACTCGAGGCTAGGCCTTATCTGGGCCTTGTATAGAGTGAGAAGGTCATGCGGAGAAAAGTACTTCTTAGCCCTAAACAAATAGCCTAGCTTTTTCCCAGCAGCTGCAGCTATTGAAGAGATGTGTTCGTGCGAGATCAGGTCCTCGGACTCCGACCAGCCGAAATGAATGGCTCTTTGGTAGAACTCGACCGTCCATCGAAACTGTATGAGCGCTAGGACGCTTTTTGTTCGTCAAAGTACAGTACTGTGTTTTGGAAGCATTGAACTGTACAAGATTGTTGCGTCCCCAAGCAGTGATAGCCTCCAGGTCTCTTGTCAAAGAAGAAGTCGTCGCTAGTCTTCTTTTTTCCAGCTCAGCGGCAGAGATCGGCTTGTCACTCTGAATTCCTGCATGTAGAGTGCTGTCATCAGCGAAGCTGTGGATTGGGTTGATCGTGCAGGAAAGGAGGTCGTTGATATGTAAGAGAAACAGTGTTGGAGCCAAGACCGATCCCTGGGGAACACCGGCGTTGACGTTGTGGGATGAAGAGGAGAATCCGTCAATTACGACGGATATCTTGCGGCCAGAGATAAAGTCAGCCACCCATCTACAAAGCTTTTCTGGGAGGCCGTAGGATGGAAGTTTGCTTAAGAGGGCAGCGTGCCACAGCTGATCGAACGCTTTCGTGATGTCAAGAGCAACGACATGAGCCTCACCATGAGACTGGATGAGTTTACTCCACAGTTGCGTGACGTAAGCTAGGAGGTCCCCTGTGGATCGTTGGTGCCGGAAACCGTACTGCCTGTCGCTAATCAAGCTGTGACGTTCGAGGTAGTCTAGAAGCTCGCGATTTATGCACCTCTCCATCACCTTACTTATAACAGAAAGCAGAGCTATAGGTCTGTAGTTGCAAGGGTCGGTTTTAGATCCTTTTTTTGGGATGGGCTGTACATGAGCAAATTCCCAGTTTTCTGGGAAGGTGCCGGATTCATAAGATATCTGGAAGAGACGCGAAAGAACTGGAGCAAGCTCCGCTGCACATCTCTTCAGTACAATGGCAGGAATCAAGTCCGGACCAGAAGCTTTGTTGATGTCGAGCGACAAGAGCACTCATCTTACGGTCTTATGCCTGAATGTTACCTCCCGCATAGTGCAGGGAACCCTTTGAATTGACGGCACTTGGGCGTTGGGGGGGACTTCCATGGTGGAGTTTTCAGCAAAGATCTTGGGCCTTTGAGTCGAATACAATAGTTCCATCCTGACACGTAAGTGGTAGAAGGCTACTGTGTGAGAAGTTCTTTTCAATCTGCTTGGCCAGCGTCCAGAAAGACCGACTGCCATTGCGCTGCGACATTACCCTGTGCCTAACTTTTATATCATGCTGGTTTTTGGCATTGCGAACCGCTTCGTTATATTTTTTTCTGGACTCGACGTCGGCTTGTCTGTTCTCTACAGTGGGGTTTTGTAAGTAGGTTCAGTGGGCCTTGATCTGAATTTGGTAGAGAAGACAGTGCCACAGTTCAACAGAATCAAGTTTTTTTTAACATTTTCGGGTGAGCAACTGGCAGAAGAAATTTTAAAGGGCTTTGTGCTCATTATTTTGTTTATTGACCCGGTTATGGCTAAATGAAGATTATGAACACAGTATGGAAAATACGAAGAATAGAGGACATAACTTTCAAGAACCAGAATTAATACGATGGGGTAGTCAACAAAATGACACTTAGAAAGTTTCGAAATTCAAAGCTCTTCCGGAGAATAATGAAAAACCTAATTATCGAAAAATCGTTTTGCTCTTTTCCTGACTTTATTTATATTGGGATATTAAAATAAATTGTACATTAACATTGCCACATTTTCTCCTCTACAAAAAGGCATAATCAGAATTTATATATGATGGTTCGTCTCTTGTCCTCCAGCATCAACTTTATTATTTCTTAAGGACGCTTATTGCATTTTTGCACAGACGAATTGACTCTCCAATTTTGATTCAAAAAATGCATAATACGTCATACATTGACATTGCCAAACCTTAGCTACTTCTATTTTTTCCTGACATTATTTGAGATGGGATTTCAAAATAAATTGCATATTGTCATTGTTACTTATTCTCGGCTACAAGATGGCGTAGTCAAATTTGCAATTCGACATTTCTTCTTTCGACTTCGTCGTCAATTTTTTTTCATGCGGACACTATATTGGAGTTTTGTACATTTAAATGGACTTTTCAGCCCTACATTCAGTTATGTATTTTGTGAGTTGACCATACATTTGTTGTTGGATGAAAGTTAACAGGAAATAAACAGATATGGTGAAACTTGAATACGAAATGAAAATGTTATTGATGATAATAATAATAATAACCATAAATAAGCAGAGGTCTTCACCCTGTTGCTATGCAAACAAATGAAATCTGATAATTTCCAGGCCTACCTAGGAACTTCTTGAATAAGTAAGATTTAGCAATATCAACGTATGACATATACATTTTTGAAATCAGAGTAATAATTCTATTCATGTGTGTAAGAATCCAATATGGCGTCTATACGAACAAATTAAGTTGATGCTGGAGGTCAACAGACGAATATCATATTGAAATTCTAGTTGTGCCGTCTTGTACAGGAGAAAATGTGGCAGAGTTGGTATGCAATTTATTTTGAAATCCCACCACAAATAAAGTCAAGAGAAGATTAAAACCATTTTGGAAAATTTTGTACTTTCAATTTCAAAACTTTCTAAGCGACATTTTGCTGATTATCTGAATACGCAACTTTGCCCCTATTTAAGCGACTTCGTATCCCTTGAAGTTTGCGAGATCCCAATCATGATGCTCGAATTTAAAATACCCTGTATAGGGAAAGTATTATTTTCACCCCAGCAGAAACAGTCACTCCCTCTCTGTGGGCACCCATGAAAAAAAGCTGTATCACAAAATCTCCAAAATTTGTTATTTTGTTTATTTTTTCATTAGCTTTGGGTTGGACCTACATAGCTAGAATATACAAATACTGTTTCTGCATACTCTTCGAGGCTGGGCGACAAGGGAACAGGGAACAAGAACCCTACTATCCGAGTTTTATTAAAAGTCATTCACAATACTTTGTACATTTCTCATGCATAATCACTGCAGACGTTTATTCAGAATTCTTACTATGTAACATATTTACTTCTTCAACTTGTCATTTAATGAGTGGAATCATATTTCTTCGAATTTATGTTTATACTTTTCATATGAGAATTGAATGGGAATTGCTGAGTAAATCTACTTGACATTTGTGGGGCTGTTATTTTTTATAGAAAGCGTCCATGTTTTCCTCTCTAGAGGAAAGTTCGGGCAGTTGGCGAAAAAGTCATAGATCATTCTGGTTTACAGCAAATGAACATATCCAAACTTTTTCAAAATTGTCTACTGCATTCTGAAAAATTTTACATTCGAATAACTATTGTACTTGATTTCGAGCTTTGGCAATTTACTGGACAATTATCTGCTGGCTAATTTTCAGTCATCAAACAGTCAGAAGTTTCTGTACGAACAGCGGATTGGTTGTCGGTAATCGGTCTTAACTCCCTCAGCCAACTCGTAACGTTTACGCAATCAATACAGTGAGCGACGTGTCAGTGACAGCTAACTTCGTAAACTAGGGCATGACTTGTCGCCGACTATCAGCTTGCTGATTGTCAGCAAACAGGCTGTACGAACAAACCAGTTGTCAGATGGGCAGTAACTACCGGTGGAACAGGAAAATAATGTCTATGGACAAATTGTATGGGACTGTAATTAATCACCTAATCTATTTAATTTCTCTGTTGTACATGTTCGTAAATGATTTTTCTGTCAGATGATTTAGATTGAGCCGACCTTACCTTTATGGACTGTGCCGGCGTTACGTAGGGAATGCAGAGTCAACCTTCTTGACGCCATTTTTTTACCTAACATCATCTGAACTCTAGGTGGCTATGCCTTCGTCGACTGTCCAGACCAGTCGTCGGCAGACCGCGCGATCGACAAGCTCAACGGCTTCAACTTCAACGGCTCAGCGCTGGTGGTGGAGCCATCAGTAGCGTCGGGCAAGAAGAAACTGTATCCAGGGGGAGGGGGTTACACCCACGACCACCCACCCACACTGCCCGTCACTGCCACGGCCAGTGGCGGCTGGATGAGGGCGGGTGCTTGAGCGCTAGCGGGGATAAACACGCCACCGCTTTAGTTGCAAGTTTAAGTGTGTGTGTGTTTTTCATCAGCTGTATAGTGATTGCATCGAATAAAATATTAAATGGGTGACAGTACTGACGTAGTTGCATCACTTCCCTGATGGAATGTTCACACTTATGCGTTTCTCGTTGCGACTTCAACATCAGTTGTATCTTCTCCTTCAACTGGCCTTAGCACATGCACATTAGGGTCACTCAGTTTGTTCTACTATGAGTTATCCTCCAGATAAAATAGTAAAGGAAAGCGCACGTGTACGAAAATTTTTTATATTGTCTGAAGTTACTCTTAGATAAAACATTGTGCTTTTTCATACGTTAGTCTTTCGACCCAAGACATAAAAGCAATTATTTAGACCGCAGGGCCACACATAATTTCTGTCAAATTGTAAATACGGTATAGACGCGTTTGATTCACACAGTCCCATATAAGCTCACCTCACTTCCGTTCAGTTATTCTATTGCGCGTTTGTTCTACTACATCTCAGATCAAATGTAATGAGATTTCATTCACAAGTGAGTAAGACATTATATTTTAAAGCTTTATGTCTGTTTGACTCTCACTTCACTTGCAAGACGAACGCAATATTTGAGTCTTTTTATTAGATCGCTGAGCTACGAATGTGGATTGAAGTTACATACCATAAAGGTAAGGCTGGAGGAATAAAATGCTGGTTGTATTGGATAATAAGTACAACGTAAGCTTCTGTGATATCTGGGCATTACCTCTTGTCTATAAAAATTATGGCAAAATGTAAAATCTGCAACTTATGCTGTCGTTTTCATGTTAGTATTTTCTTGCAGTTAAATAAAGCCACATATCTAGGATTGACTTTCTCACTTACGTTTCGTCCACCAGATTTACAAGTACAAAGCTGTCAAAGTGACATCTCTACACACCGAGTATTCCTGGACTATTTTTATAGTTCTTTTGTGGGTGCTATTACAAATCATAGTGTCTTGTGCCCTGATGACGCACTGCAAGCATCTGCTGTAAATGCATTCTATAGGTTAGTATATTGTAAGCACAACATTGTCCTTTTCACGAGTATCCATTGCAGCAGAATGACTGCTGATTATCTAGCAATATTTCAAAGTTCCCCATACCGACAAAGAGAGCCGTATTTTGTTTTGTTTTTTTTGTACGCTGCAGATTCATTTTGTACTTGCTAAGAACTCTTTTTCATTCAGTTCATTTGTTTAAAACAATCAAAACGCTACAGGCAAGATTTACTAGGCTTACATCCAATTCAGTATTGCCAACGTTGAAGACTAATGTAAAAATGTCACTTGCTGATCAGCTGGTCACCTTATTAAAAAAATAAGGCTAATGCAGGACGAAAGTAAGCTTTTTTTAATTGCTAAGTAGCTGCTGATGCACACAGTGTGTGAAATTTAAGCCAGGCCTGTGTGGATATCACAGAATGCTAATATTAAGACTAATGCTAATAGCGCCTCCTTGAATGTTATCTAGATAATTTTTGTGTTCGCGACGAAGCTTGGAGTTTTCGGGAGGACGAGCGGAGGTGGCGTGTCTGATATATCCCAAAGCTCGCTGCTTGGAAGCAGAAATGCCTATTCTAGGCTGTCCTGAACCTTGCGGTGTTTGCGGGATACCATTTTGAAGTTTTAGTATGGTACAACAGCAGATCTAGGCTGCTGTTGTAGCACACTATATATAAGCAGCAAAGACAAGTGAATTATAATAAAACACATTTATTGTCATTGTCATTTTTGACTTATACTTTCAAAGAAGGTCTCAAAGTGGCTGAAGCGTTGGTGAAAAGTTAGTCCCGAATTTGTTGCTTTATTTAACGACCAAAGAACATGGAGATCTACTGCAAAAAGTTCCACACAAGTCGCAGTACCTATGAATCAAGAAATTTTATGGCATTACGTCACAACGACTATTATCCTGCAGAAATTCCATAATAGTCTATAACGGTTTACGAAATAAATATTGTAACGTTTGGTTTTGTTGATGCGAGTTATTTAGGGGATATTTGAAATATGAGACCATGAAATGGATACAGCAATTTTTGTAGAAGAACCTGTTACTCAACAACAAAGAATGAGAAATGCGTTTTTTTTTTGGGACTTGATTGAAAGTGTACGTATAAATGAAAAAAACTGTTTATACAAGTTTTTTAGGTATTCAGGAGACCTACAGAATGAGGTCACACATAAAAAGATCTGACTTAAAGCAAGACAGTTAAAACCTAGTCAAAATGCGGGTTTTGGCATTGACTGGTAATGCGACGATAGACTCGCGTAGATAAGTGGATTTCTCAAACTCTTCTTTTTTATACAAGTACTTCTAAATAACCACAACAACATTGGAGATGACTGATCTAGTAGTTTTTGAGAATTTCTAATTGTTTACGCCAAGACACATTGTTTTCTGCAATCACTCCAAGATTATGAAGGAACACGGGAAACAAGGTTCGTTTAAAAGGCATTTTATAGAAAAATGGTTGATTCAACCACGCCAATATGAATCGCAAACTATTTCGCAAACTTATTGAATTTGATTATAAAGAAAAATGTAACCCTTAGTTCTTCGCTTAAAAACAACTTTTTATCTTTGTGAGTAATCGACGAGCGGACTTATGGTAATCGAAACACATGTATGATTGTACACATCTAAAAGCAAACGGGATGTATACCGAGTGACAAAAAAAACACCTACGTATATTTCCGATTTTAATAGTTTTTTCCTATATGTTTAGCGTCCTTTATAGTAAAATGATTGGATTTTCAGCTTGATTCGTCAACTGACTGCAGAAGCTGGTTCAATAATGTGTTGAGAATCCACGATTTCGTATACACCCATTGACACGCCTGGGCATCGAGCTGATAAGGTGTTCGATCTCCTGTTCCAGGCTACTGCAACTTCGTGAGTAAGAGCTACTAAAGTTTGTGGAGGGTGTTGCAAATTCAAGAGCCTGCGACTTATCATGTCCTCGAAATGTTCAATTGGAGATAGGTCAGGCGATGGTGGTGACCGGGGCAACCTTCTTACCATGCTCTTCAAACCACTGATAAGCGAAGGCTCGAGTACTACTGAATCTGTCTCTCAGAGCCAGAAGTCTTAGCCGGCCGTCATGTGGCTCTGTAGTTCCTCTGAGACGACAAGAACCAGTCGCTCGCTAACCTTCAGCATTTCTGAGTCCACGCTCGTTCACACTGGAGTACACTGCATAAGGCTTCTCAATAAGCTACACGAAATTTAACATTAACTGACACCGTAGATGTACGAAAATTGAATGCTTCTTTATCACCAAACGATGCACGCAGCCACCACAAAAACCTGATCATTTTATCATTTCCTGTTCATGGCAAGATAAATCGATATGTAAAAAATTCTTGAATTCTCATAAGCAGACATAGGTGTTTACCTTTTCTTGTCACTCAGTATATCTACAATTTTCTGTTACAAATAAAAATATGTATCCATAAAACTTCTTTATAAACTTGTGTGTAGACTGAACCTACCTTTGGTTTGAGAAAGAAATACCAAAATTGCACTTTCCCTGGCGTACATGTTTAGAGCTGACATTCTAATGTCATCAAAAATGACCCTTAGTATTTATAACAAAAAATAATTTCATATTGAAACAAACTGAGTTGTTTAAAAAGGTATCACGCAAACTGACAACTCAATTATGTTTCAAACTCTCTTAGCCTAGTTGGTATGCTGTGTGTGCTGAGAATGCTGGACTTTATCCAATAAGCAGGCCGCGTAAAGATACTTTTTGAGAAATCTAAGTCCCTCGACTTTTTTCTGTTTTTGTACCATTAAAGTTACTGAAGTACCACAGAGTTGAAAACAAACTCGAGGGAGCGAAAAACACTATACAAATATAAACCAATTGTAGCGAACTGACCATCTGACAAAAGTCCTGAGGATCATATAGGTATATCCTAAAAAAGGAACTGGATTAAGTGACTTACTTATTTGATAAAGTCAAGCAGCCGTCACTCTCAGCACGTACTGCATCCTAACTGGGCTTAGCCAGTTTGAAATATAATTATTGTTCTAATATTTTAAACACTTCCCGCGTCTCAGTATGATCTTCTTTATAAAGAAACTTTCAATAAAAAGCTTTTTATGGCAACAGAAAGTTGTAGACGCATTATCTCATTCTCTTTCATCATTTGTTATGGAATATAAAGTTTCTCTACAAAAATTGATTCACCCATTATATAAGTTCATGTTTAACCCCCCCCCCTGATAACTTGCAGTGATAAAACCAATCAATACAATCTTTTTCGGCGTAATTTGCTTAGGTGGTTGTAGTATAACATCTACAACATGCAAATACACCTTTAAAAAAGTAGTGGACTGAAACGGAAAATAGAAGCGGTGTGTTTGTCCACACACGATTGCACTGTCCTTGATATTGCTTCACACATATTCCTGCATTGCAAAAATAACTTGAGTACTGAAATGCATCATTGCGTGCCACTAACTAGATACTAAACCCCAACCTTTACAACTAAAATATTGCATAGTTATTCTTGTTCCACATTTTCATTGCATGCATAACAGACAGGATATAATGCAAATAGTCAATCAGTGAATTGAAGTATTCCATCAGCTACACATTATATCCGCGACATTCATACCACTTGCTCCCCGACACTGATGTCGAAGTTTATGAGCGAGAATTCCAATTATTCATGAATATACGCAAAGAATAAATCAATATGTAAATAAAATTGACAAAATTTAAATCGGAAAACTCCGTGGATTCCGATCATTCCTTCAATACACCATATAATATTGGAAGCTTATACATTCTCTGAATATGGTTTCCTCGTATGCGTTGCGCATTTCATGCCCGTATAAGATTTACTGTGAAAATTATCTTCCATGGTGAAAAGTGAATTTATCAAAAACATTTTTTCTTCTAATTCAGTTTCTGGAAATGATTTTCAAAATCTCTAAGGACTTTGAAGGACAATAACTTGTCAGTTATCAATTGCTCGGAATTGCAGCTGTAAAGGATAACTGATGGTACAGTATTTTACAACAGACCCCTGTTTATCATAATAGTGAACCCGTAATACTTATCTGATGATGACCTAATAGGGCGGTGTTGAACCGGAACCAATTTTCTGATAATCCGCATG